TTCCAAGCACGTAATGAAAATAAGCATGTGTATACCAAATAGTATTGCGCGATCTTAAACATTCGTAAATGCCTACGTAAAAGTGAATTCATTGATTAAACGGATAAAGAGAAATAGTGACATTAAAGACTTTCCTGGACGTCTAGAATTTAAAAACAAATGGTCTCATCCATGATATACATTTTCTGTAGACTTCACTGCATAGTAGGACCCCTAAACAAGACCATACTGATCGCCTATCATAGTCAGCAAGTGAGAAGCAAAGGAGATATATAAACCATCTCCTTTCTTGGTGTATATATACCTATAACCTCCTACAATCGGACTGTGTTGACGATCGCAAGTCCTGAGAGCTAAAACGTTTTCACTTATTTTCAAGTAAATGAACAGATGATCAATAAAGAAAAAAAATATGACGAAGTGATGATATGAAAGCGATATTTCGGCTTGCATCTCGGCCAGATTGCAAGGTCGGCGAAGCGGGCAGTTTGAAAGGAAAATATACAAACAGGAATATAAGTGAACATTATATTTTAGAGGACTGTTTCATACAGCCTCTCGGGCTACACACACTTTAACATCCTTTTTGTGGTTGTTATTATTATTATTATTATTATTATTATTATTATTATTGTTATTATTATTATTATTATTATTATCATTATTATTATTATCAACATCATCATCATCATTGTTATTATTATCATTATTATTATCATTATTGTTATTATTATTATTATTATTATTATTATTATTATTATTATCATTATTATTATTATTATCATCATCATCATCATCATCATCATCATCATCATCATCATCATCATCATCATCATCATCATCATAAATGCTATTATCATTACTACTATTATTATTATCATTATCATTAAGGTCATGGATATTATCATAATCATCATTATTAATATTATTATTATTATTATTATTATTATTATTATTATTATTATTATTATAATTATTATTATTCTTATTATTATGATTGTTATTATTATTATCATTATTATTATTATTATTTATTATTATTATTATTATTATTATTATTATTATTATTATTATTATTAATATTATTATCAATGCCATGACTATTATCATAATCACTATTATTATAAAAATATCATGATGATGCTAAGGAATCGGAAGAAGAAGAAGAGAAACACAGATAATAATCTCGATAAAAAATATATATATATACATATAAAGGCCGGTGAGAATAAATTTAAATCGCCTCCCACGCAGTTCCTCGCGCGGCCGCCAGAGGGAAGCACGCGCACCACAACAAACCCCAGTTGCATCTCTCTCGCCTGCTGCTCTTTGGTGTTTTTTTTTAGGTAATTGGCTCATGTCATCAATTAGCGAGGGTTGTGTGGTAGATTTAGAAGGCGATTTATCTGGAGAATAAGGGAGAGGCGAGTAAAGATGGTTGGTTTTGGTATTTGAGAGGAGGTAGTGTGGGTGGTCTTTCTTTGGGGGGTAAAGTGTGGTGTGTCTGGAGTTGATATGGCGAGTTTTAGCTGTTTTTTTTTTTAGGGTATTTATTACATTTTGGGGGTTGTTGTTGAGTTCAGGGGAAATAGCTGGGCTAGTCGTTGGCAATTTTTGCATTGGAGCTCTGTTGGCAAGACTGACGTGTTTGTTTCGTGTGGTTATTTGACTCGCTCTTTAGTCCTTAGAAACCAACTACAGGGGGGGGGGGGGGGGTTGGTCCAGTTATCTGTGGGTGGTGTGGGGAATAGACAACTTATTGTAAAATATGAGCTATTGTCTTGTGTGGCATAGCTCAACAATCAAAGATACTTAGTAAACCATGTTCTTCACTAATAATCTCTGTTTCCATTTAATTGAAGTGTAGAGTGTTGTAAATGAGTGCATATCAAGCGTATATGTGTGTTGGTCATTGGGGGGTAAAGAAGGGTTAGGGTGCCTATAAGTTGTTCATGTAGGCCTATGTGCTCTTAGTCCCTTGCTTGCGGGTGGCATCTACCACGATGCCATGGTGGCGTAGCACCGATGCCACAGGTGGCATCCCTACAGATGCCATCCATATGGATATAACCGTTTGGCAGACCACCGAGAAAGCCCACACGTATTGGGTTAAGTGTATTAGTGTAAGTTAGGGGAAGGTGTCATTTTTGTTTGCAGTAGCCTCAGCAAACATTGTCTTCACCTTGGTGTGCATAGGAAGATAGGGCAGAAACTCGGGAGCACCGAGTGAACTCAGTCGGTACTTTCCACGATCTTTTTCCTTTAATCATGGCATTACTGTTATGTCTGTAGGTTATTTCTTGTACCAAAGACTGTAATTTTTTTGTCCTCTATAAGGATATCATCTTTAAATTGCCTTGACTTAGTGCATCCATAATGCAAAAATTAACCATCTTTTCTAATATGTTAATATTTGTTTGCATGTGTAGGTCTCACACTTTTGACAACATCAGCCCCTTTAGACTGGGCAGGTGTGATGTTTACAAAAATAATTACAGGGTCAACTTCTTGATTGACACTGTAAAAGTGATGCATAATCCCCAGACAATTTTTGATTGAAGATGGTTCTACTCGGTAGATTGGATAATATTTCATTTTATGGAAGTAGCATTAAAAGTTACGGTAACATTAACAGTTTAGGGAAAACAGGTTTGCTCGCTAGCTTTCATTTTAAAAAAAAACTGACTTTGGAAATCAAAACTGTAATCTAACCTACTCAAAGCTAATGTTGCCAGAGGTCTACAAGCTCTTTCTTGCTAGACTATACTCGTTGGAAGGATATTAGCTTTCTGTAGATGCCCAGAATGTTCCCAGGGCATGAAATATGTGGTACCAGGGTAGTAATATACAAATCGTAGTAACAAATTCTACAAATATCAAATATATATCCAGGGGCATCCTCCTCTATAGTGGGAACCATTAGAGTTTCTGCTAATGGCCAGTGCTATAACATTGGCACTTTATCAAGTAATCAGGCCTACAAGCCAGCTCTTATTAGAATATAGTCTACATGGTAGAGGTTTCTGGCCTTTTGCCGGTAATGATCACCTGACACCAATCTATTCCAATTACTGCCTTTGGTGCTCCAGTAAAAGCAAACTAAGGAGCATCATGTAGCTCTACCACTGGCAATTATAATGTAATAAGAAATCAGTCAAGGTCAAGCTAGCCATAATGTGTGTGTGTATATATATATATATATATATATATATATATATATATATATATATATATATATATATATATATATATATATATATATAATAATTTTGGACATCAGTAACAGAGAGATCAGTTTTTCCCAAAAGATACCAAAGTAAAGTATAAAGTATTTCCTCTGCTAAAGAAATATATTTCCAGTTAAAGGTAACACTTGTCATTAAAGGGAAGTAAAGAATTTGATCTTCAATTTAATTGGACATTCCTCTATAGCAGTGGTTTTCAGACTTTGCACTAAAAATATATCCTCCAACCTCTGCAATGCGCCAGCTCTTAAATCATTGATATAGAAAATGATTGTTATGCATTTATACAGTTATTGTATTTCCTTATTGTATTGGCTGGTTGATCAGTGCCAAAGGCAGTAATAACCATTGAATGTCAGGTATATTTGTTGCAGTATCTTTAATGAATTACATTATTTAGTATATGTCACTACTTTTAATTCATATTGCATATTTCCATGTTTTGCTGTTTAGTATATTTCACCACTGTTTTGCAGTCAAGAAACCCATGGCAACTGAATGTCATTGCTATAGATGGTGGAGTTGATTTTCTTTTCATGCCTTACCAGACAAGATATACTGTCTTAGCTTTAAATGATTGTCTATCTTTCTATTTTTCTTCTAATTGATTTGCATAGCTATTGTCCTCCATGTCCCTCATTATTATAAAAACCAAGAGTGGAGCTGATGCAGGGTAAATAACAAAAAAACACATCTTGTAAGTAATTGCTACATGGTCTAAGCTATCAATATACACAAGTATCATTAGCTCAGCTCATGTGCTTTTATTGGTAAGGCATTAACCCAATTAGCACGGGTGGCAAGACTACAGTGCCATGCCCATTGTAATAAATATTCACCAATTGCCTTTACACATAGACGGTTCTACAAGTGCATAGTCACCAAGGAGCCAGCTCAAAAGGGGTGTTACACCCTTTCTTTATTTTCTGTTTCAAGGTAGTGAGCTACCCTTAGCTGTTCTTCCCTCTCCCTCTACTGTTTACCTGTTTACCCTTTTCCTTGAGTTTCTATTTATTTTATTGTCGTTGATGTTGTTAATATTTTGATAATAATTTAATAATCATAATATCAATAAAAGTGATAACAATGTCAATCTTAGTAGTATTAAAAGAAAACCACATTTTCTCGCAAATTCAAGGAATAGGAAATCAGGTGCGGTCACTTGGGCCAACTGATTGACTCCATGGTGGCGGAGCACACTGTATGTAACAAAACTCACGAAAATAAACCTGCAGACATTGAATCAAGCAAATGTAGGCCCATTTTGTAAGATCACCAAAATATATTGTATTCAGCAAGATATTCTCTTGGAGAAATTTTGACTTAACTTTGTTGTGTTATACAGTCTGTTTTATATTTCCCAAAGAAAATTTAGATTTGTAGAATATTATTAGTAAAAAGGTACTTTCTAATATCTTAGCTGATTATAAGACTGTATAAAGCCCTAGTTAAGTTCAAAATATAAGCATTCTAATTTCCAGCAACTTGTATTAACCTTGCTGTTCCTAAGATCGACATTGCAGTGATAGCTTTCTAGCCTTTATTTTCAAGCAATTTATGATATTCAAAGACGTGTACATTACATTCCTCCTTGCTTAGTTTAACAATAATTTCAGATGTAAACATTTTCTGTTTTAATGTTTGTCATCATCTCTTTAGAACAGTGTCTTTGTTAAGCAGTGAACAAAGCCAAGCAGTTTCAAGATAACTTAATAACAGAATTCTTTCATAACAGAATTCTTTCAGCGAATGATCATGGCAGAGGACTACGAGGATTCTGATTTCTCCTTATCATGGACTGATCACCTGCAAGTTCTCCAGAGAGTGATTACAGCTCTGCGTTATAAGGTATTTTAGATTATGTTATAAGGTATTTTGGATTGTATTATAAGGGATTTGGATTATATTATAAGGCATTTTAGGTTGTATTATAAGTTATTTTGGATTATATTATAAGGTATTTTGGATTATACTGTAGCTTCCAGAGGGACAGAGGAAGAGAGATGGATTGAAATACTAAGTGAATGTTTTTAGTAATTTAATCCCCCATTCTCATCAAAATATTATTGTCATGGTTCTCGTGTTAATATTTTTTCCCCAGAAGAGACAGTTTACCATTAAGAGAGTATTGAGGAAACATCATGCATTTGATATGTTTGTTTTCTTCTTGCAGGAACAGTTTGCAGACGTGACCTTAGTTTGCAACAAGAAGCACTATCCAGCTCACAAGTTTGTCCTGGCCATGTGCAGCTCATACTTCGAAGAGCTTTTTGAGCACACCCCCAGCAAGCATCCCATTATTGTTCTTGCTGGCATCCCTTCTGAGGCACTAGAGAAGTTGCTTGATTTCATGTACCTCGGCCAGACGGAGGTGCATGGCAAGGACTTTGACCGGCTGCTAGAAGTTGCACAGGAACTGAGGATCAGGGGCCTCATGAATACAAGTGACCACCCTGAAAACCAAGTACAAGTGGTAATTATAATGCAGTATATATATTTTTTTTTCATAGCTAGACATGAATACCGTGTATTAGGAAATGTAGACTGTAACCTGTGAGAGAGCAGTTTCAGAAAGATAATATCCCTATCAGAGCTGTTGTGTGTTTGATATGAAATGCACATTTTTTGTAGATTTTCAGAATTGGGTGTGTGTATAATATATATATATATATATATATATATATATATATATATATATATATATATATATATATATATATATATATATTCATAATATTCATATATATTCATATATATTTATATATATATTATATATATATTATATATATATTACATATATTATACATATATTATACATATATTATACATATATTATACATATATTATACACACATTATACACACATTATACACACATTATACACACATTATACACACATTATACACACACACACACACACACACACACACACACACACACACACACACACACACACACACACACACACACACACACACACACACACACACACACACACACACTCACACTCACACTCACACTCACACTCACACTCACACTCACACACACACACACACACACACACACACACACACACACACACACACACACACACACACACACACACACACACACACATATATATATATTATATATATATTACTTATAATACATATAATGGTGATGATCCGAATAGTATTAGAAAAACATATAAAATCTGATATTCGTCCCAAAACCTTCGTCTGACAGGTGTATGACAACAAGTTAGGATGAAAAACATAGTTTTTGACAAATAATTTAATCCCAGAGGGCATGTGGCTTGGACATGCATGTACACTAACAGTAGTTAATTAGTTCATATTATTCATAATTTGTCTGTATATTTATTATTCATTATTATTTTGTGAAGTTGGTATGAGAAGTTGGGCTCTCTCTGGCAACTACTCACAGAAGGAGAGAGACAGTGGGGTGAGGAGTGACAGGCTAGCATTTGTAAGAGAGATACACTCTGTTTCACTGCCCTCTGACTTGAGTTTGCTACTAACTAGCCTTTTTTATAGCAGATGTTTAACATTCATTGACGGAGACTCACCAAGCGAGGGGTGTCACCCCCCCTTCTTTATTACTCTTTTTTTTTTTTTTTTTTTTTTTTTTTTTTTTTTTTTTTTTTTTTTTTTTTTTTTTTTTTTTTTTTTTTTTTTTCAAGGTAGATGTCCTTAGCTTTTCTTGCCCACCCTACACTAAGGAGTTATCCTCAATCTTTACTTCATTTAATGTTTAACGTTACATGTGACCTTTACTAATGTCACTGCATGGCAACACTAAAACAGTACCTTATTTTTACTCATCTTGATGGGACAGATGATAACAGTTGTCAAAATCTTTAGGTGCCCATATCTCAAAACTATAATTTTGTAGATTCGTTCTTCTCTCAATTTTCAGAATCAGTGTATCACCTGAGAGTGGAAAGAAGGCTACAAATTCTGACAAGGATATTTCTCAGAACTAACAATATCTATAGTTTTAAACCAGTTAACAAAGTATTTTTTAACGAAAAAAATTCCTCAATAACTAACACACTTAGAACTAATATCTTGCCTAACATTTTAGGGTTAAGTGTCCAAATTATATTACTGATTAATTAATGATAGTGTCTGAGTAAGCTTTCTAATACTGGATTTATATTTACATGTATAAAAGTTATAACAGGTAAACTAATAGGTCTGAAGGTCTCAAACTTTGTCTAAAAGACCATCAAACACATATGTATACCATCAGATATTTTCATTCAAATTGACTACAAATGACTATATAGGGAAATTTGCCCATTAAGAAGTGAATGTTATGGATTGAAATAGTTTTTAAAAAAGCAGTCAATCTTATCAAAGACTTTTATTTATGAATGACATCAACCAGATTTGGATGTATGTTTTTGCAGGACCAATCAGGCATGAGTTTAACTATTTTAAACACAGGTTCAGGTTCTTGTCAAAAAATGTTAATCTCTTTGTGCATATGGGATATGTATTTAGACTAGTAAAATTATATTTCCCTTACTGTTTGAGCAAAGATGTAGTAATAGTTGGTAAAATATTGTAGTTTGGTAGTTGAAATGTACTTATACTTGTAGTAAGAAGTAGAACATCGCTAATTAAAAGTCTGATTGGTACTATAGCCAGAAATTGATTGTTTTAAATTCAAGATAAATCATATTAGCAATAATGTATCATCCCAGGTAGTTCTTAATGTACTGTATTCCATTACTAATGCTTCTTTTGGACTTTGGTCATCTTCAGTGTTTTAAAGGTGGGTTTTCTCTTTCCTTCTTCATTCTCCTCTTCCTCTTCTTCAGCTTCCTCTTCTCCTTTTTATGCCTTAATTGATTTTGACTTATTACCAGAGAATTTTAACCTTTAAAAGTGGTGGTAAATGCGTATTCAGTTTAAGAAGTAATGCCTAAGTAGGTATGTCAATATTTTGACAGTATTTTAAAAGTCCAGGTCATTGGTTCTTACACTTTTTTCCTTTGTACCCCCTCTTTTAGTTGTTTTTTGCTTCTATGCAACCCCTCCTTCCATCACCAAATTGATTGAAAAATCTTCTTGAATTTTTTTTTTCTTCTTATTCTTTATTGAATATTTAAAGAATTTTCTATAAGCAGCCATCACATATATTGTAACACATATTTAGAAAATTCAAAATTTATAGTTAACATAGGCATGTACTCCCTACTAATTATGCTGGTGTTAAATGCTTAAGGATCACCAGAAATTCTTAGACATTATAATATTCGAGATGTTGTTATGCAAGCTATTACACACTTTTGTAATGAGAAATACACATGCATAAGGTGGATCAAGAACTTGTACCAATTTTGTAACCTTTTGAGCTGGTTGTACCTCTTATTTATTTGTCTCTATTGCTCTTTCTTTATTTGTATATATTTAATACCTTTTAAGTTGATGCTGTCATTGTAGAATCCTGGCATAGCTGTTAAAAGTGCATATAACACTAGATCAATTTTGTTCTATTTGTCAGTAACTATTGTCTTCCTCTTAGACTAATGTATATCTTCAAAGAAATTCCTTAAATGAAAGAATTTTTTATGAAATTGTATTTGGTAACAAAGCAGAATGACTGGCTTTGTTTCTTTACTAATACTGATGTAATTCAGTGTTGTTTTAATTCCATCACAAATGTCATATACTGCCTTTGCTTGTAACTAATCTTTTAAAAGTTGTTTTTTACTTTTTGAACTCAAGTCAGTGTCGTGAAAAAGTGGACCTATTTTTTTTCCCCTAAACACACATAAATGGTCTCTGCTAGGGGAATAAGTGCTATATTCAGGTATTTCCTTGTGCTCACGGTTATTATTTGAAATTGACTGAAAATGCCTTAGTGTGATAGGTACTTGATTCAGCACTTTTTTTGCATGTCTAATTTCACAACAAATTTCTTTACCTTTGACTCTGATCAGACATACTATGAATCAACAGTCTTGTGCTGTATGGTATTTTAAGAAGTTATATTTAAATAACTTATCTTCCTATGCACCCCCCCAATCCCTTGCCCGTTGTTGCCGTGGGGGGGCTTAGGAGGCGGAGACTGGGACCCAATGATGGGGAACTCCCCAACCTTGGGACTCAGCCTTCGACTCAACTAATTATGCATGGTCTTTTTTTTCCCTTCCCACTTTTGTTTCTGTCCCTTCACCAAACCCTTCTGCTATCCACCTCCTAAGGTGTGAGAGCCGTGCTGAAAGGATGAAAGGCTGACTTTGTGCCAGTCCTGAACGGCCTGAGGGAGCCATGGGCACGGTATTCCCCTGATTTAGTTATCTAGCCCTTACCCCTCAAGGGGACCCTGAGGGGTGGACTGTTTTTATCCCCAACATAATCCAGGCTTCCCATGGCCAGTAATGAAAATATATCTCCACTGTTAGGGGCAATGAGGCTTGCCCCTTTATCAAATAGCCCCAACGAAGTAAACCCACCTGATTCCCCGACCCCAGGCTCTCCTTTGACCACGGCTCCGAACACTGCAATAACTACCCCTTCACCAATGCCTACTAGTACAGTAGCCAATAATCAACCCTCAAGGAACATTTCCACTCTCCCAGCATACCCAACTTCAACACCTCTACCCCCACAACCTCCAACATCAACCACCCCATCCTCCCTTATTAATACCTTACAGCCTTATAGCCCACCTCTCCATAACACTACCTCTATCAACACTACTCCATCTTCGTCACGCCCTCGCCCTTCTACCACCCCTATCTCTAAAACAATCTTGAATACTCTCTTCAGTGCAGCCAAATGGGACCGATTTTTCGTGATCCCTCCCACAGCTCCCTACTCTGACAACACCCTTCTCTTCCAACAATGCCTCCAAAAACAAGTAAAGTCTCTTTCCGTAGCCGACCCGACCGCTCCCGTCTTGTAACAGTAACATCCGAAAACCAAGCCATAGCACTAACAAAACTAACTGACCAATATGGTAACCCCATCCTAGCAGAACCCCATCCAACCCTCAATACTTGCACCGGAACAGTCTCAATCTCACCAGCAAATTGCCCAATCTATGACAAAGATTGGTCAGATTGTGGAGAAGATCTACTTGCCTGTCTCACAGACTACGATGCAACATCAGTACAATGCTACTCAATCCCCCCCAGAGGTCATCGAAAGAAACCCACTAACATAGCCAAAATTACCTTCCACAGACATGACCTTCCCTTTAACGTCTACATAGGAGGAGAATCCCTCCCTGTTCGTCCATACCAACCTCCTCCACGTCAGTGCCAAAATTGTTGGCGTCTAGGACACCCAGCCAAACACTGCCGTTCCACAGCCAGATGCCCATTATGTGCCCAACCTGGCCATACCCGATCTAACTGCTCTGCACAATCACGCACATGTGCCAACTGTGGCGGCCCCCATAATGTATTTTATAGGGGCTGTCCCACCTACAAATTTGAATCTGAGGTAGCAACTCTCAAATTCAAACTTGGACTCACACTGCGTGAAGCCAGACAGGAAGCACGTCGACGTGGATTCTCTCTTACTCCTTACTCCAGTAATACTGCTCATTCTAACACTTCTCCTAAACCCACCCCTCCTACATCTAACCCCCCCACTTCTACCTCCTACCTTCCCCAGTCTAACTCTTTTGCCATCCTAAATCCAGAAACTCCAATCTCTAATACAGATACTCCAATCACCACTACAACCCCAACACCTTCCCCTCTGCCTCCTCGCACTCCCCGTCACAGACAGAACAAACGTTCCACCCCCTCTTCCCCTACCACACAATCACCTCCACCATCCTTTACCCCTACTCTTGAAACACCAGTCCTCTCTTCCCCCCCTCACAAGAAATCCTTTATCCCCCACAACTCCCCAACCAACTCCTCAGAAGAAACTATTGAAAATATTCAAGATTACTTAATGCAAACTGACACTCAACCTACAACCCCTGCTCCTTCCACACTCCAAGTAACTGCTGATATCCATCCCCCTCCTAACGATATCCCCCCTACACCCTATCCTCCTACCCCCTCCCAACACAGCCCATCCCCCCCGACCCCGACCCCAACCCAGTCCCACATTAACCCTCCCACCATCCCCTCTATCCCTTCCACTCCCTCCTGGATACACACGTGAATCCCTTATGTCACAAGTATCCCCTTCCTCAGACCCTCCATCTCCTAATACCCCTCCTGATAGAACACCAACTCCCACATCTCTCCCATCTCAAACCTCTCAGTCCTTATCCCACCCTCTAGCTGATTCCCCCTCAAAGTCTCCAACACGTACTGCAATCTATATCACTAAATCAACGAAAGTATAACTATCCTTCATTGGAATATTCGCGGTTTCCGCTCCCACAGACCTGACCTTCGTCATATCCTTTCCTCTTATAACCCATCTATTGTATGCCTTCAAGAAACCTTTCTTACACATCCTCCAATACCAATCCCCAATTATCATTTTGTCTCTTCCCCACATTCCCTTTATGTCTCGTCTATACTTATCAATCAGAAAACACCTTATGTCACACCACCCTTTCAAACCAATGTCCCTTGTACAGTTATTCGTATCTTCCTTCATTGTTGGATCACAGTGATTTCAGTCTACTTCTCCCCTTCCCACCCCATTGACTTTGTTGCTTTTGAAAATCTAATTTCCCAACTTCAACCACCTTTCCTCATAGTAGGCGACTTTAACTGCCGCCACACTCTTTGGGGTGATTCTATTACCAACTCCCGAGGCCGATCTCTAGAGCGCTTCCTCTCCACAGCTGACCTTACTATTCTAAATTCAGATCGCCCCACACACTTTGATACACGCACGCAATCTTTTTCATGCATTGACCTCTCTCTATGCTCCCCTTCTCTTCATATAGATTTCCACTGGTCAGTCTTAGACCACTTTCCCTATAGTGACCACTTTCCAGTTCTCCTTTCTCCTACTTCATACGTACCACTTCCTAACTCCCCACGCTGGTGCTTTGATAGAGCCGACTGGCATACTTTCACTTCACTCTCTGCTATTCATACCCCTCCATCCTCCCTCACCTCCATTTCAGAAATGATACAATGTTTCACAACTACAGTCTTAAGAGCTGCACATACAGCTATCCCTCGAACCTCAAGACCATATACCTCTAAATGTGTTCCATGGTGGAATTCTGATTGCACTAAAGCACTTCGCTTAAAACGTGCAGCCTGGAACAGTTACCGCTACAAGAGAGGTACTCCAAATCAACTATCAGCCCTTATCTCCTTTAAAAGAGCATCTGCCTGTCTTCGTCGTACAATCCGGAATAGTAAAACAAATAGCTGGCGAAATTATGTTTCATCAATTACATCCTCTACATCTATCTCAAATGTATGGCGACGAATCCATAAACTATCAGGCAAACATCCCCCCCATCCTGCCCCTGTCCTCCATATTCGAGATACCCTCATTTCTGATCCTCTCCAAGTCGCTAATGAACTGGGTGATTATTTCAGCCAGGTCAGTAGTGGCTCTCACCTTTCTCCACACTTCTCTTCTATCAAGACCACCAGAGAACGTACCCCCATTACCTTCACCCCATCCTCCGCTGAGTCCTATAATGCCCCATTTTCTTCCTCTGAACTCATTACTGCCCTACAATCGTGCCGCAACACTCATGAAGGCCCTGACGGTATTCACTACCGTATGCTCCGGCAACTCCCATCTTCCTCCTTATCCTTCCTATTAAAAATTTACAACCACATATGGACATCAGGAAATTTTCCTTCTAATTGGCGAGAAGCTCTTATCCTTCCCTTCCTGAAACCCAATAAATCGGGTACCCTCCCTCAAGACTATCGCCCCATCGCACTAACTAGCTGCTTGTGCAAACTATTAGAGCGAATGGTGAACTTCCGCTTAATGTGGTATCTTGAATCTCAGCAATCTTCTCTCTCCTTCCCAATTCGGTTTTCGCCGTGCCAGAAGCACAGCTGACCCCCTTGCTCATTTTGAGACATATATTACATCCGCATTTGCACGCCATGAATCCGTACTAGCTATATTTTTTGATCTAGAAAAAGCATATGATACGACATGGCGGTACCATATTCTCCAACAATTGTCCTCTCTAGGCATACGTGGAAACATGGGTGTCTTCATAAAGTCTTTCCTCTCCCAACGCACTTTTCAGGTCAAAATTGCTTCTGCCACATCATCTTTCTTTCCTCAAATCGAAGGTGTCCCACAAGGCAGTGTGCTCAGTACCACTTTATTCCTTCTAGCTGTTAATGATATTGTCTCAGTTTTACCACCAGGAGCCCGGTCATCACTATATGTTGATGATTTAACCATCTATGCATCTGGCACATCCATACCAAATCTCTACCAATTTCTTCAATCTGCAATCTCATCAGTATCTTCCTGGGCCACAAACCATGGCTTCCGCTTTTCTATCTCTAAATCTTTCTCCATCCTTTTCTCTCGCTCACGTGTAAATCTCCTACCCCCACTCTTCCTATATGGCACTCCACTCCAATACCGTTCCTCTGGCAAATTCCTAGGCGTCATTTTTGACTCCAAACTGACCTGGCGAGACCATATTCTACACATTAAAGAAAAAGCTCTCCGCCGCCTTCGAATTTTAAAAACTCTATCCCTATATATCATGGGGCTCAGATCGCAAAACTCTCCTTCATCTTCATGTTACTTTGATCCTCTCCACTCTTGATTATGGATGCCATATCTACTCCTCTGCCTCAACTTCTCTCCTTGCCCATCTTGACACAATCCATCACTGTGGTCTTCGCTTAGCACTAGGCGCCTTCCGCTCCTCTCCAGTTGAGAGCCTGTATACTGAATCAGGCATACCATCTCTATCTAGACGTCGTGCCCTGCTCTCACTCCGATGTTATGTTCGTTTCCACCAACTTCCCCTCACTAAACTAACTATCCCACAATCCCTACTTCCTACCCTAGCTTCATCTCCACGCTTACCTACTCCTTTCTCCACTCGCATGGATACCCTCCTCTCCCATTCCCCTTTCCCCCATCTCCAACCTCTCCCGTTCTCTGTCCATTCCGTCCCTCCATGGCTTATACCTCACCCCCATATTTGCTCTTCTGTTTTCCCCGACCCACCAAAATCAAATATTCCTCCTACTGTCCTTCTCATCCATTTCCTTGACCATGTCTCCACCCATTCCTCTAGTATACACGTATATACTGATGGCTCCAAATCCACCTCTGGTGCTAGTTTTGCAGTAATATTCCCAACTCGTACTTTCAAATACTCCCTTCCTCCTGAATCCAGTGTCCTTACTACTGAACTGTATGCACTCCTTTTTGCCCTAAAACACATATACTCACTCTCCTCTTCCTCTTTTACAATTTTTACTGACTCCCGTAGCTCATTAACTCTCATAAAGTCAATACACACCACCAACCCCCTTGTAAGATCCAGAACTGGTTGTTCTACCTGTCCACACGCCACAAAACAATCAAATTTTGCTGGGTGCCCAGCCATGTTGGAATCCCCGGCAATGAACAGGCAGATACACTAGCACGCCACGCTGCTATGTCCACATCATACCAACCACGCTTCTCACGTATCCCAGCCACGGATTATTACCCACACTTTAAGACCTTCTTGTATAAACGATGGCAATCTTTCTGGTCAAGCCTCCACACTAATAAATTACATTCTGTAAAACTATCAATCTCCTCCTGGTCAGCTCCATTTCATCGGAACAGACGTTGGGAGACTGCTCTCGCCCGCTTACGCATTGGCCACACCCGTCTAACACACTCCTATCTGATGTCACAATCTGATCCACCCCTATGTTCCTTATGTAATGTTCCCCTTTCAATCGTACACATCCTATTGTCGTGCCCACGTTTTGAAGCAGCCCGTACCTCTGCTTTCCCCCACCTATCCTCCCTTCACCGACCTCCCAACCTATCAGACATCCTTACAGAATCCCACACTTTCTGCATCAACAACCTGTTCTCTTTCCTCAAACGCATACATATCCTTTATCTAATCTAACACCCGACCTTAACCCTTTAACTCACCAATTCCTTTGCCCAGCTTAGACAACTAACCACTAACTCAAACACCTTTCACTAACATTAACTATAGTGCTACATGACCTTAGATGTCTAGCACATTTATCTTGCTTTTAACCATTAACCATTAACCATCTTCCTATGCTCTTGAATAATTGACCCCTGCACTATCCCCAGGAGAACCAGACAGTATTTCAAAGCATCAAACAAGAGGTAGTGGAAGGAATCAAAATAGTGGAACCTGTGAGTTTAGCAGAATTTCCTTTAAATGGAGAACTGATTGAGGTGAGTTTAATATATTGTAGTTTTTTTATGTTATTATTATTGTTATTTGTTTTCCCATAGATTCTTGAAGCTGCAGTGCTGATATATATTAATCAAATGAGGTTATAATAATTTTTCCAGCTTTTCTTCTTCTTCTTCTTCTGTTTCTTCTTCTTCTTGATTATCCACTCTTGTTTACTGGTGCTAATCATGCGATAGCCCCTTTCTAAATATCCAATGAGTTTAATCTTCCTCCAAAATCTTGTGTATTCATGGCAAGTCATTCCTGTCACCTTCAACTGTAGCATAATTTATCATGAGGACACATTCCTGTCACCCTGGCCCTCAGGCAAATTTTTTCACGACTGTTCATTCCCATCAACTGGCCTTTAGCCTTTTTTTTTTCTTCTTCTTCTTCTTCTTCTTCTTCTTCTTCTTCTTCTTCTTCGTCTTCTTCGTCTTCTTCGTCTTCTTCTTCATTACACAGATCCAGTGAATTAATGGTTTCTTTTGTGATTTTGGGAAGCCATTTGCATGTAAACAAATTCAGTAAAAATCTAACCACAGTGATAGTGCTTCTATACTTGCACTCTCAGCATCAGCATTTTTATTTTTATTTTTATTGGTAGTCCTTGTAGAGTACAATTTGAATAAAGTTTTTTTCAGTCATTGAATGAAAGAAAGGAAGTGTAAACTGAGATTCATGTTTTAAGTTCTGAGCAAAAAAAATTTTTTTTTATGTTTTTCAATTTTCAGGTTGTTGGAGAAAAAAGGAAAAATGAAATCAAAGAACTTGTCGATCTTAAAGCTGTGAAGAGTGGTAATGGTGACCATGTGGTAACCCACACTGTGACGAGCAGTATGGTAGTGGAAAGTAGTTTCAATAATAATTTTGAAAGCAGAAAGAGGCAAAGTAGCAATGAGAATTGTGACATTGCTTTAAATAAGTGTTCTCAGTGTGAAAAATCTTTTGAAAGTGAAGATCTTTTGAATTATCACAAGATTAGCCATATAGAAGACAAATTTTTTACCTGTTCAGATTGTCCATACAAGACTTTAAATTATAATGATTACAAAACACACACCTCGAAACATGCAAAGTCACGACCCTATGCATGTCCATACTGTCCTGAAAAGCAAGTGAACAAAGAACTGCATATCAGTC